CTTTGTCTGCAATGATTAGACATGTTTTTATTATTGTCATCAGTGATTATCTCAATTTCAGCTAAAAGAACTGACAAAATCCTACACACTGTGCCTTTAAAAACTGCTTCTTGAATCACTTTAATCTGTTTTTAGCTGCAGTTAGATTCTTAGACAAACTTTCTTCTTTCTGCTTCAGAAATCTAATTTATTTTCTGTTAAATTTAAACTTCTGTTCTTTAAATCACCTCTAAAAGTGCTGAGTCATTAAAAGCAGGAAGTTAAAAATACTGCTGAAAAGTCCCGAGTCATCCTCTTCTTTGTTTTTATTTCTTTTTCAAGCAGAAAGATTTTATTTAATCTGTGCTTCTGATCTAAAAACTTCAGCTGTTATGAAGCTCTTTAAAACCCAAGCTCTTTAAAGTTCAGCTGTTTGGAAATAAAATATAAATAAAACTAGAAAAAGAAGCTAAATGGTTGCTGAGTGTCGTTAAAAGTAGCTGAAGCTAAAATGTTTAAATATCCAGCAAAATAAAAGACAAAAACAAACAGAACAGTAACAAAAATAAACAAAATTAGAGGCTAAAAGCTAAAAAGAGCTAAAATGTACCTAAAATCTTAATGTGGCAAAACCTTAGCTAAAAGCTAAAACTAACAAAACTGTAGCTTAAAACTAAAAGTGACTAACTTCTAGCTAAGAGCTAGCTCTAGTAAATTCATAGATAAAATTATCTAAACCACAGCTAAAAGCTAAAACTGTTCAATTGCAGCTAGAATTCAAAAGCGGCTAACCCATAGCTAAAAGGTAAAACTAGCAAAACTGAAGCTTGAAGCTAAGTATGGCAAAACTATAACTCAAGCTAAACCTAGCAAACTTCAGCTACAACATAAACCTAGCAAACCCATGGCTAAAAGCTAACTCTAATAAATTCATTGCTACAATTACCTAAACAACAGCTAAAAGCTAAAATTGTTCAATTGCAGCTAGAATTCAAAAGCAGCAAAACCATAGCAGCTAAAACTAGCAAACCCCTAGCTAAAGGCTAATTCTAATAAATTCATAGATAAAATTACCTAAAACACAGCTAAAAACTAAAACTAGCAAAACTGAAGCTTGAAGCCAAGTATGGCAAAACTATAACTCAAGCTAAACCTAACAAACTTCAGCTACAACATAAGCCCAGCTAACTCCTAGCTAAAAGCTAACTCTAACAAATACATAGATAAAATTATCTAAACCACAGCTAAAAGCTAAAGCTAGCAGAAGAAGTAAAACAGATCCAGAAGGTGAAGCAGATTTCGTGTTTTTGAAGTAACTCAGGAGATTTTAATGTAATTTTACAGTGGTTTGCAAAAGTATTCATACCCCTTGAACTTTTCCATATTTTGTCACATTACAACCACAAACATAAATATATTTCACT